GTGGTGATGAACAAAAGACTAAACTATCAGTGCCTCCAGTTTACCGCTAATTAAACAAAAGACAAAAGGCAAATATTGCTAACATGCATGTGTTTGCCAAAAACTAGATGCGCCATGAGTATACACCAGACTGTCATAAGGCAGTGACATGGTAGTGAGGCAGATTCTGACCGAACTCTGCAGGAGGAGAAATTTGGACAAGACACAGTCTCTCCCCTGGAGCTCACTGGTTTTATGAGGTAAAGAGCCCCTGGGGACACTGAGCACTTTAGCACCTGGCACTTTCTACTGTTGGGTAAGCACTATATTAATGTATAGGTTTCTTTTAATCATTCTGTGTTGATTTAATAATTGTGTGTGATGTGTAGGCTATTTAGGTGTGTATTTGCTCTGTACTCTGTCATGTTTGAAATTTATAAAGATCCTTTAAAAATCTAACATGCATGACTCATGAGCTGAGCTAAAGTAATAAGTTAGCTGAAGTTTAGCTAAGGCAATAGGCTATGTCAAGGCCATACAGGCTAATGTACTGTACTTAATGGAGACACTACAGATGAATACAGTAACATTTATGCCTACTAATGTCATCACAATTGCCACATTGATATACAAATTAGGTGTTAACTAATTAAAATGCGGTTATTTGCACACATTTGACAAGTCACTGCAGTGAATAGGATAAACAACTAAAGCATATCACCACAGAGACTTCCCCAGTTAATGACTTAGCCTACATCAAGAGTGTTTTCCTCTGAAATGTTGTGTTTAAATATGCAGATTATCTTCCATCCATCGTCAACCGCTTATCCTGCGTATGGGGGTCAGCAGATTAACTTGTTATGGTTAATTTTGAAGAAATCTATAGATGCAAACAGATGGAGGGTAGCAGGTTTAAAACAAACACCATCTAAATGTGTTTTAGAAGTTTTCTTTCCATTAGAGTAAAAGAAGACATGGAAGCAAAATAGACCAAAGACTCATAATTGACCACTACATGCAGCCCAATGCCAAAGATTTTTGTTGATTTTATAGTGCTGTTCCAATAACACCAAAAGAATTAAAGCAATTTATTGCCTTGTAAAAAATAAACACATTGTTAATGAAATGATGTTCCACTCCTTGGTGCAGTCATTTATTCTAAATATATACTAGTAGCGTAGAAAACATGCACATTGCGGCATAGTTTCCTTTGCTGTTGCCTGCTCCTGTGATAAACCTAGTGAATAGGGGAGAGCGGGGTAAGTTGTAACACTAGAGGCTCTATGTCAAAAATCATATTGCCACTTTGTGTGACTTCTTGTTCTATGATCAACTTCCTGTTCACATGTGGTCAAGGTCAATCTAATCTGAGGTGAGCACAATTTTATTATTTTTTTTGCTTCAAAAGTAAAACATTAATACTTTATGCAATCCAACTTTGTTAGGTATGAATATTCAAAATGATAATTTTGCACAATTTAGGGGAGACAGTTACGTGTCTTTTGATACTTCAGCTGTAGTGCTATGTTGAGCTAACCTTGAGATTTAGCCAACATTAGCACACATGTCAGTTTGGGGCATGTTGTCTCAATGACTTTGGGGCAAGTCGTCACATGTGATTACTTGCACACATAGAACATGCTCAAAAAAGTGTGAAATTGTGTAATTACCTCTGACACCAGTAATAAATGATACTGTAAACAGATTATACAGTGCAGTTTACAGCAGCAGGCATATCTCTGGACTACACAAGACTGAATTCATGACACTGTATGAAGTGTGTATGTGCCTGTGGGAATATACAGTCTCATATTGTAGGCATGTAGCGTGTTAGTAGACTACACACACACACTACTTCATACAATTATTAATTTAGTTAGGCAACAAGGTCTAACAGTCTATGGCCCAAGATGGCAACAATCACAGCGCATCTAAATGAGACTGGAAAAAAAACTATATTTGGAAAAAACATTGGTTATTTAATGTGATCCATATAGACAAACTGAGCGTAGTATTTTCCAGGAGGATGGGACTGTGCACAAATGACCATATATGAAAAACCGGCTCCGTATGACATAAGTAACAGAGTGTAGAAAAAAAATGAAAAACTGAAGCATTCAGAGCAATGGGAAATCTGAGGTTTTGACTCACAGGGATTTATTTTAATATGTTTACATCATTTTTTTTGAAGGTTGGCCGCATTTAACATGAACGTCTGACATTGTAACATAATAGATATGAAAGAAAATACAGAAAAGCATAATAGGTTCCCTTTCAATATTTATGCAAGTTATTTGCAGCATTCCATTCAATTACCATAGATCTATTTGAACTCCAGAGAATGATTTTAAAGTTCAAAGTAAAGTGGCCATGCCACTTACGGTGTGCTCTGCCAGCATTTTTGTTTTGATTGAAAGGACCGATTTTCCAGATTCTCTAGTCATGATTGTTTTTATTTTTAGTGCTGGTATGAATTTTAAATTTAATATATAAAATCAATATTCACAATTAAGTAGTTGTATTTTTAATGTTTGATAATCCAGTGTGACAATTTACCTGCCGATGGGGCAAATTGTCACAAGTGCACACTCTCAATTCAACAGTCTACAACTCTGTAATGAGAAAAGATATGAAGATTTGATGAATACAAAATATGTGCCTAAGACTTCATTCTTTCATTTGGTATGAAATTTGTACCATTGTGATGTACGGTGTTCATTAAATGTTAGACAGTGTGAAAAGTGTGACAACATACCCCGCTCTCCCCTACTAAAGAAGACCATAGTCTGTATGTGAGCTGATTATTTTGTATTTCTTATTTATCTATTATTATTAGTAGTATTAGTATTAAACAATTGCGTGAGTGTGAGGGTTGTGATAATGTATTTAATGTTTTTGTTTAAAATAAATAATTATGAGAAGTTCCCTTTTTTTCACTTGAGCCCTTGCCCACCAAAATGTCTGTGCACATCCCTGCTTGGAGTCATTAGCTGAAGCCACAAGTGTGTACACTAACTTTCCAGCTTTTCATGTATTTGTACTTGTTATGGCGACAACTGTTAGACTGATTAGGGAGAGACAGTAGCTCAGGCGTCAGGCTTGCAAAAATTGGTATTCTCTGGGAATCTGACAAGGTTGAGTCTCACAAGAATGTTTACAAGTACATATTGGCTCCACAGATTAGAGTGTAACACATGGATAGTAATAGATTCCAATATGACGTAGTATTGGAGTCTAAACATTAGATAGATTTGTTGCTGTAGGTTAAGGCCGGTTAAAGATCACCTAAGAGGAAACACTACAGGAACTAGGGGGAAGACAGAAAAATAAAAGGAATCAAAAGATGTTACCCTTCAGATTTGGTATTGGCATTTGTTGAGGGGCAGAAAGCTAGACTCAGGCCTGCTGAAGCCCAGACCTGTTCATAGCATTTAACATTGGTGGAGGTCGACAGCACTTGGAGTTCAAAAGAAGCTACTGGAGTAAGTCAGAGATCGACGCAATACATAATCAAAGCAAGACATAACCAGAGTAAGCCTTAGACTGTCAAGGCACACTGAAAAACATGGTGCGAAAATAGCCCTTGTCTCCCCCTACGTCAGGCGGGGTCTCTGTGAGGCGCCCACCTATTTTCTTAATTTATTGCAACCTTTTGTAAATTCTACTAGTGGAATTTTCTTCTTGGTGGACCCCTCCGGAACCATCTTAAGCCCCGTTCCCACAATATTTTACTTCCTTAGGTTTTAGTTCTACAGTTTTCCTTTAAAACACTAAGTCATCTTTATTGTCGGCTAACTTTATCAATCATATCATTGACGGGAGCTGTTCCGTGGTCATATTTATCTTTTAGACATTGTACATGCTTTGAGACACTAGTAGAACTTTCAGGCAGGTTTTTCCCAGGGCATGGGCCCCCTTTGGATCGTTCCGGTCATTTACCATTAGCTCCCAAATACATAGGTCCTGTATTTTTATTTTTAAGATTTATGTCCCCATGACAATACATTCTCACATAGTCATGGTGGCCCAGGAATGACATGCAGTCTGGGTACATGGCCTTATCTCTTTTCTCACAGAGTACCACTGAAACTTTACAATACACTCTAGTTGCATAGCTTAACCCTTCTTCACCCTTCCCTACAGAACACATTTAACAGAACATTCTTGAGGGCCATCTTTGTTAGACTGTCAACTCTGGCCTCACACAGAGGACAGAGTGGCAACTCAAGGTTCAGTCTTAAGCTGATGATACACAGGGCAACTTTTTGAGCAATGTTGCTGGGCAATCTTGCTAGTGGCAAGTCCGACTAAGTTTTGAACGGATAGCGGCAGTGCGGGGCAGGTGTCAGAGAGGTGGGGGAAGGGGATTACGGTAGTAATCTTTACTCATTACCATTGACGACAGCGTTGCCCTGCATGATTGCTCTAAAAGTTGCTCTGTGTATCATCAGCTTTACACACAGATCTAACTATGGATGTTACAAGCTTATAAAGGTTTCTGAATAACAGAACTTAATACATTGCAGAGATGATACATTTTTAATAATATACTGAATAAATGAAACATTCTGAGTAACATGGAATTGAAGAAATGATACATTCTTACACAACACATTCAATGTGTTCACATGTTGTATGCTGGCACTGTATCTCCTCGACCGGGCTCAATACTATGTTAAGTCTTTATCTATCTCCGAAACTTCTTCATCACACCTGAACTTGGCTCACAATATTTCTTCAACACTGACAGTAGTACATAAAACAGATAATGTGATGGGAGGGGCTTTGAATGATACAAGCAGCAGAGAGACACGGAAAGTTTTGCATTGTATGTTTAACTGTTACTGACAGCTGCTTTAAGTATTTTTTCATGCCACTTGAGCAAAAACTGGAATGCATTACTTTTATTTCTCTCTCTACAGTGTGGTGTTGCTATTTTTACTGAAGTAACAGATCTTCTTCCACCTCGGAATATAAATAAGGCAGCTCATACTAACCTACTCAGTAATAACAACACTTCATGAGATTTTAATAGGATTTTTAATGTAGGTAAAAGTACAACAAAAATTGCAGAAAATATATGTATAAGATACAAATGTTGTAGAAAAATATTTTTAATGTAGAAAAATATAAATATTAAACTGAAATAAACAGTACACAGATGGTTTGCAAGTAATGGATTTGCATACCTTTACAGCCATGTAAACAGCTAACAATTTATGTGCAAATGACTAAGAACTCGTGACTTGTATACATTAGAACAGTTTAGACCTAATACTGTACAAACAAAAATGGCTTCAATTTACTCCTTCAATATTCAAAAACATGCTTTCTGTGACAGTCTTGAAAGGCATTTTCCCAAATGAAGACTTTCCCAAAGAGAAGACGATATTTGACTTAAAAACTGTCTCTGATGCCAAAGAAACTTCTGCCCGTCATGTTATTCATCCATGGATTGCTGTGTCCTCTCCATGTATTTCTTCTGAAACACATGGAAGAGGCTGGAGTTCTTGGAGGTAGGAGGTGACAGTAGAGGACGATACTTCTTCTCAGGTTTTGGACACCATGTATCTACGGTGCAGTTAATTCATTATAATTAGGAAAAACTATTGCCACTTACTATATAATAACAAAGACATTAAAAACTAGAATGTAGGTGTGTTTTAGTTGTATTTGTTACCTTTTGGCCTCACAACAGATTTGTTGTGGCTCTTTTCCTTTCCTTCAGGGACGTCAGGCTTATCTTAAAAAAAACAAAAGAAAAAAACAATCAGGCTTAGCTGAGAAAAGACACTGAAAAACATCTTGCAGCAGCATTACAGAACGCATCATTTGAATTATAGAGAGGAACGCTGCTTTTACTTTGACCTTTTTAATCTCAAATTTTATGACTTACCTGGAACAGGATCACTGGTTTCCTTTCTCCCATTGGATCCATCTTTGAAGTTGAAGGTATTGGGTAACACACTGAACCTCAGGACCTCGTTCTCCTGAAGAGGCTTGACAGCAAGGCTTCCATTTCCACCATTACTTCTCTCTTGATGAGCACGCTGTTTGAGTGAGACTGCATCCTTCTTCTTCTTCTTCTCCCCTCCATGTTTTAGTCCATTAGAGAAGGACCTCCTCCTCTTCAGACTCAGGCTGCGCTTAGCATTTCTATTGTGGATCCTCATTTCAGAGGAAACTGGCAGCTCCTCGGTGTTGGTAGGGCCAACCACTTCAGCTTTCTTGTGATTCACCCCAGATAAAGAGGCAAACGATCTCATCTGTGTTTTCAGTTTTTTTCTGTGCCTAATTTTAGTTGGTGGAAAACTTCTTCTCCATTTTTCGTGAATCTTTAGTTTGACTGAATTTTCCCCTGGTGGGAGAGTTTCACGGGACTTTCTCCTCAAGGGACTGAGCTTCACAGTGATAACTTCTGGAGGCCTTGGTATTCCAGACTCTGAAGATGAAATATGTCTCTTTCTGCTGCCAAGTAAACCGCACTGGTCTTGTGTTGAGCCAAAGAGTATCAGTTCTACAGTTCTAACATTTGAGGCTGAAGGTACACCATCAGTCGCATCAAGAAAAACCTTCCCACATTTTGAAACGCCCTCAAGGACAGACTGCGAATCAACATGGGGATTGCATATCGTTGATTTCTTCGTGAATGGAACAAATCCATCATAACTGCTAAGTCTCTTCTGCTTTCTTTCAACAGTTGTCTGGACGGCAGAAGTCGCACTAATTTGTGTTTGTTCTCTAGTTTCCAATGATGACTCTGGCATATTTGTAGATGTCAGCTGAGCTTGTCCACAGTTCTCTTCGAGGGCTGACATCTGGTTGGCAACTTCACTTTCACTGAGATTTTCAATTTCTTTGTCTCTACTGACCGAAGTACATGACAGCGTACTTTCTGTAGATTTCAACTGATCTCCTACACAATCCACCTCAGGGTCTGACTGAATTTCAGTGCCACTTCTGAAGAATTGCTTTCTTTCTTTCTCACTACTGTCTGAACCGCCTAACTGGCCACTTGCTATCATTTGAGAATCCTTTTCAAAGTCTAGCATGTGGCTGCAAATTTCATTTTCACTGATGGAGCAATCCAGATCTTTGTTTTCACTTATGAGTGTGATGCTCGACTGGCTACTAGTTATGCTAATCTGGGAAATGCTCTTTGGTTCTCTGTCAGAATATGAGTGAGGATTGTCGTCGCCTTGAGTCAAGTCAATGGTTTGACAAAAGATGTCAATGTTCTCCCCACTTTTCGCTTGATTCTGTTCTCCTACCACAGAGTGTAATTTGCTGTCAGACCTGATTGCACACCGTTTATCTTTCTTTTGTATGGCAATATCTTCATTATCAAGGGTCTTGTCAGGGAAATCTTTAGGTTTATGACTTGGCTCGTTCTTGCACTGGCATTTAAAAGAAGGTGTGCTTGACCCCATAATCCTGTTCATCCACTTGTCAATGCAACAAACCTGTTCTATTGGAAAGACTGATTTTTTCTTCGGTCTTGAGTCATTCAAAGTGACATCTATAACATCAGGTAGCTCACCCTCCAAAGAGCTACGCGTGACTTTTTCTGGCAACCTGTTTGTGTCCATTCTTTGTGGCATCTTGCTTTTTAGTTGCTCAAAGATAAGTTGGGCCTCGTCTGAAGGCAAAACTTGGATTTCAAATGAATAATATGGGTCACTGGAATCGACACACTCTGTTTTACTCGGGGAGACAGTTTGCGTTGAAACACTGGAGGCTTGTTTTTCGTCACTCGAGTCAACTGGTTCAAGCTCAGTTGGTGACGAGACCCTGATTGACGCCTCACTTTCAGTTTGTGCAGGAATGCTGTTGCCTGTCCCAACTTGATCTGGCTGACTGTCACTCTCAAGTACGTGAAGGCGATGCTTCAAAGACCACTGGAAGCCAAACTCTTTATCAATGTCATCTAGCTGTTCGTTGACATTCAACCATGATGATTTGTAGGGTTCTGGTTCTGAATAAACTTCATCATGTTGGAGGACATGGTAGCTGTTGAAGTTTTTCTTTACTTGTGACAATATGACAGTGTCTGGTGTTACATGTTCATAAATGAACTTTGTAACACACGTAATTAAATTCTTATACCAGCCTGTCCTGAGCAATCCTGCCAAGTTTGCAATGCTTCCATCCCAAAACATGTTTAAACACTGGCTTCCAGAATGAACCGTAGGAAAATCTCTTTTGCACATCTCTTTTTCGGCATACTCTAAGCACTTACTTAATATGGCACTTGTCCACGGGACTGTTGGTACTGAGGAAAGCGCTTCATCAGCTGGATTTACGCTTTCCTCCTCATCACCGCATTGGATTACTGGCACTTCAGAGGTCAGTGATTGTTGAGTCGTTGGTGAAACACACTGATCTACTTGCATGTTAATGGCCAGTTCAGATCCTGTGTCATCAGCACATATCTGTTTAGGTGACAAGTCTTGATTCTCGTAAGTACCATCACTGGATGTTCGTGAAGATTTGTTAGACCTCAACCTGTTTGGGCTTTCTGGGTAAAGATTAGATTCTTCTCTCAAACATGGAGACATTTGGTTTGTTGTCACAGCTGGTGAACTTAATTTCTCTGGTTTATTTATAGATTCATTTGTTGCAGTGCATTCACCCATTTGATCGACTGTGTTAGAAGAGGTATGCTCGCTGGCAATTTGGTAGCTTTCCTGTGACAACGGCTGTACAACAGCAACAGCTCTTGCGCCTGTTCGACCTGGAGATGAGTGAATGGAGCTGTCATTTGACTTGACTGATGAGAGCCTTTCAAGTATTTCAAGCATTTCACCATTGTTTGCTACAAATGATTGGGTCTTATGCAGTTGCATCAGTTGAGATGCGTTGCTTAAAGATCCAACAGGAAAAAATGCATTGGCTGTCTTACTTCCACTTCCATCTCTTGCTGTATTATTATAGGAGACATTTGGTACAGAGCTTTGCTGAGGTGGCGTATCTACGCTGTGCTGTTGTCTTGACATAACACTGCGGGTGGTTTCAGGCAAAGATTGCCTAGAACTGAATGGTAAAGACTGCAAGGCATTTGGGCTGTAACTTTCTGTCACAGTCGACACAGGTTGCATACTTTGATTAGACTCCATCATTCTGACCTCGCTGGCATGTTTCCCATTGTATGGTGAACTGGTATACACTAGAGGTCGACCATCTGAGCTAGCAGTGAAAGAATTACGTAGGCTGTCTGCAATTCCTGCAACTATCATCTGGCGGCTGGGCATTTGTTGTGTATCAGCAGCTGGATTTAAGGAAGGGTTGTTTGTTTTTGCCAAGAACGGGTTGGTTTCATACTGGCGGCCGAATGAATTTGAGTTAACAGAGGTGGTGGCCTCGTCCCCATTGTTCCTTTGACTGGAGTATTGTTGAGTTTTCTGGAGCATGCTGTACGAACTCTGTTCACTTGCTGTGTTTGCTGTAATGCTGTTTGTGAAAGACTGAGAGACAGCCATATCATAGGTTGGTGGGAAGGAAGGAGAGAATCCATGCTGAATGCTGTTTTGTCTGTAATATTGGTTATGAGCAGTCTGTCTGTTTTGTGCAGACATTAATTTGTTGGTCCGACCCACCTGTTCATGTGGAAGCGAGGTAGCTGTTGTAGTGTATGCTGAAACAGGTAGAGTTGACGCTCCATTTACATTTTGAGACAAGCTTTTCTGAACTCTACAATATTGGCGATTAGACATGTTACCATCTTGTGCCCATATTGACTGATTCCAATTTCCCATAGAGTTCTGATGAAAATCTTGCTGCCTGGCAACCTGAACTCCATTAGTGACCACCAAACCATGATTTCCACTTTGCATATTAGTAGAGGATTTTTGCAGATTGCCATTTAAGCCCGTCAGATAATTGTTTGTGTTCACTCTAGCTGGCTGCTGAGGAGAAACGGTCTGATGAGAAACTGCTGAGGCATGCCAGCTTGACATCTGTCTGTTAGAGTAAGCTCCATCGCGAAAGGCCAAATGTGCACTTTGTTGTGGTTGGCCTCCTGTGGTCAATGTCCTGTACAGATAACAGTTATTTGCTGTCCCACCTTGCCGATTCCTCATTGTGTCATGGGTAAGAGGAGTAGCAGCTTGTGAGGACTGAGAGAGTGGTCCATGCTGTTGGTACTGTCCATTCATCCATGCACAAGATTGCATTTTTGTCCTCCGTTAAGCCTTGCAGTGGGCTGAAGAGGTACCTTTCCTGAGAGAAATTCAAAAATATTAAGTCATAAAACACTAATTTATGAAAATGGTACATAACTTTACACTCACTCCTGTTTTTTTCTGCCCTTTTTAATGAAGAGAAAAGGTTGGGCTAGGCCAGCTGACTGATCCCAACCCTCAGCAGGACTTTTACTTTTCCCAAATTAACATGGCTTTGCGGTGAGTGACCTCGGTAGTTTTACTTCACATGTAGAAACATAGGAAGGATACAATCTTACATAGAATAAAAGTTATACTTTTACAATCTAAAATGTCACACTAATCAAACTACTTGACAAACAGAGAAATGCATCTTTTTAGATAAACACATGTTGACAAAGTTTGACTTTAGGGACCTAATTGGAAGTTGGAAAAAGGTAATAACTTTCAATATATCTCAATATATTTAAAATCGCAATCAAATTGAATCGCAACATAAATATTGTGATAATATCGCATCGTGGGGCCTCTGGCGATTCCCACCCCTAATAAACAACATTAATAATTACACAACATTGTCCATGTCCCTTGATTTTTAGCATGTCATGGCTCTTTTTGAAAAGCCATCCGGTTAGCCTGCCCCATCTCGTAATGCTATTCACATCAAACAAGTGAGTTTTTTTATACCTTCATCCTGGATTACACACAAATCCATTTACAGCAGGAGTTGCAATGCTGTCAATTTGTAACATTCCTGCTGAGCGACAGGCATGTTTTCTTACATTTCAGCATAATGTGGGAGACAACCCAGGTGTCTTCAAGCCTTTAATCCTTTTTTCAATAACAGCCAAGTTCAATACAATATAATTTTACAGAATATGGTTGATCTGAGCTGTTAGTTAGATAAAAGAAGCAATTTCAAGACATGATGAGCATTTTCACAATTTCTTGACATAATACAGATTAAACGATAAATCGATGAATTGTGAAAATAATCTGCAGATTAAAATCGATAATGACAATCATTAGCTACAGCCATATGTCTTGGTGCAGTTGTTTTGCAATAAGTTCCAAGTCAACTTCTCTCACTCATACAAGAGCTTCACTCAGTAGTCGTTCTTGTCTTTGTCAAGATTGTGATAGATCGTACGATACATCAAACTAATACTGAAGTGGTGCTACAGCAAATCAGTGTGTGAAATCCTGTGCTGAACAATGAATCAATTTGTACAGTGAGAGCATCTACGTAGGACACCCGTAACAACATGGCACAGAAGTCCAGAAAAGAAAGACACACTGATTGGTGTGTTATTGACCTGATCGATGCAAGCAGCAGATCAGTGCAAAACATCAATCTTGCCATCATCTAAAATTGTAATACACCTCTGGGTTGTAAGAGGCCCTCCCTCAACAGAAATCAGTCACCAAACTAATGTACAGGTGAAGGTAATGGAAATAATTCCCCACAGGAAAATACCACTTTCAAAACCTGATCAGTCTTCCCCAGTTCAAAATCAGTGTGAGACTAGAAGACCCCACTGGTAAGTAGGACGGAAGGAACAACTCCATATGCAAGTGTGGTAGAATTTTCTTGGTGTTCACCAAAATGAGGTTTTAAAAGACCTCGTCATTGCACCACAAAAAGACCTGAATCAATTCTACTTTCTGTTGAATAACTTCAGGATCTCCCCACCATGTCTGGACTATTTCAGGCAGTCTACCAAACACACTTGTGGCAATAAAAAAAAAAAAACCATTACTGAACTGGCAAACAAAGTTGTTCGACCTCTTTCCAAGAATGTTAATACAATGTTCCATAAACAGGAAACATCTGTTTCTTCTCTCTAATATGTCCTCACAAATGCAAAATGTGTGTGCATTGTCCAAATATCAAAATATGCTGTCTTTAACTGCATGAATATATGATAAAAAGAATATAAACATACACACAAGCTTTCTGTTGCTCTAGTTACCCAACAGGCCTCTTTAATCTCATCTTTTCCTATCCAAACCTTTTGGCAGCAATGTGATTTCACTTGGCTGAAGCCTACACTTACGCAGCTTCTCTGGAATTTAGTTGGAGCTCCAGAGTCGAGTTGAGACTCAAAAGACAGGGCGAGCTTAAACTCTCTTCATTTACATGAGTCACTATACATGTTGTATTAATACCAGGGTTTTTCCTGCACAGAGCATTAAAATGGCGACTGTCTATGTAAGATTTAGTCCTGTCTCCAGTTCACAACAGAACTCTGATGGGGGTCTTCATTGTGACACCATTTTCTAGCAAGCTTTGCACTATGTGGATTTCTGTCATGTGTAACTGCAATTGCGGCATTACGCTTATGTGGTGACGCCTTGTCGTAATCAGTGTGCCGGAAGAGAAGCTACCTTATTGGCTGGACCGCAGCGTGGGGGGTTTCTGCTGGTAATGTCACAGGGCAAAATAACCACTAGAGAAAACAAAAGCGCTTTTCCCTACCATTCCATGTTTTAATAGGCTATGGTTTTATTTCGGCAGCAGGAGTTTAAAAATACATTTGCAAATGCAGTCTGCATTTGTGAACGCTGCTCTATGCGCCTCTGTGTGACTGAACGCTGAACATCTGATATGCTGGAATTTGCAGATGAACGTTTAACATGCAGGAATTCACATCAGCTACACTGCAAGAGGACCTTGTAATAATATAGACCTAAATGTACCCAAGAGCTTTTGTTATGTTTTATTTGATTCATCTTGCTGTTTGTCAACTGTGTAAATTAACAGTTTTTTTTGTTGTATTTGATTTAATGTTGAACAGGGAACCTTTTTTTATTAACGTGATAATTGTCGTTTTCTTCAGTCATATTATTATTAGAACTCTTGTTGTTATAATATTTCACTCCCTTATGTTCTGGTTCCCTCATTTCTTTAAAAGCATTTTCAGGGCTCTACGCTAACCTTTTTCCCAAGTAGCACCATGTGCTCCTAAATAAAAAAATTTAGGAACACACAAAGAAATTTAGGAGCACAATGAAAAATGTTCAAGTAACACAGATTTTAACAAACTATTTATATTTATACTACGTGTGTGCTCCTTCTCTATGTGTTCAACTATGGTGTGAAACCACTAGAGGACTATGGAAGTGAAGACCCTGGTATCTGGACACTCGGCAATGGCCTTAAAAGTTTTTTTTAAATATTGAAACAGATGTTTTGAAAATCTGACACTGAAAATTGCTTTTAAACACTGATCAGTCATTACAAAACACTTCACTGTGATTGGTGCTTGTGTAGTTTTTGAACCAGGGACGGATTCACGATACACCAGCAGCACCCACACAACCCACCCCACACCTAATGTAAACAAGACTACTGAACAGTATTAATGCGCCGCCGATTCAAAGCAGAAATATAAATCACACTTTACAGTCACTTAAGTAAAACAGAACATGGGGGAACATGTTGCTCTCAGGAGGATAGAAGGCTTACATACTGGCACACCTGTGCAGTGGAAAGCTGCATCTTTCTACTGCAGAGGCTCTTTCCACAACATGAAGGAGAAACTAGTTTGCATTAGTATTCATATATATTATTATGATAACATTAGATAAAAAGTAAACATTTTAATCTAATAGTATACTGTTAGTATGTCACTATATTAATGATTTAATTTTACTATGCATTGTCATTTTATGTAATAGTATACTATATGGCTCACCACTAGTATAATATTAATTCCAGTTGGACAAAACAGCAGTTTCATGTTTGTGAGTTGTTTTTATTCCTTAAATCCATGCGATAGAAAAATATGGGATATGGTAGGTTATAGTTACTCGCACATTTTTCCGGGTCGCACGTATCGATTTTTAGGAGCATATGCGAGCAAAATGGTCGCACTGTAGATCCCTAATTTTGTTATCTTTATTTTGACCTGCATTTCATTAACCCTACGGGCCAGTAGATCAGAGATTTACTGGCCCACGGGAAAAAAGGCATTGTTACTTTATTATTCGTATATACCCAATGGAATGGTTCATTCAAACAAAAAAAAAAAAAACTTATCTTATAACATTTTAAAGATTTAATATAATTTTTTGATTTGATTTTCCCATTAATGTGTTATCTGTGTGCAACGTCAGAGTGAAATCTTAAAGTTGCAGGTCCTCGTTGTAGATTGTCATGTAGTATTAGATGCATTTATAGATGGTGGTTGAAAAATTCTCACAGCTTTGGCTAGCGTGCTGGTAAAAAGGATAAACTAGATGTGAATGCCACATTGAAAAAAGTCATTGTGGCAGATTATGTTTAAGGTAATAACTACTGCATGACAAAAAATATATTGCCTAGGACAGCCCTGAAATCATTATTATGTAAACTAATAATTGTAATGACAGGAGTAATTTATGGTATTATTATTATTTTGTTAGTACTAGTAGTACTACATTAGTATTTTTTTGTTTATAGTTACAGTTTGGCAGGCCCACACAATAGACTACATACACTATTTCCTTTAATGTTTATTAGTAATAGTACTCAGTTTATAATGGATCTTTTTTGTAGTTTTGACTCTTATTTATCAAAACTTTAATATATTGTTGTACTTTTGTTCAGCATTTTGTTATCTTGGTGAGGTCTAATAACAACAAATGTTAGGGATCATCTTTGATTATATATATATATATATATATGTTATGTATTTCTAAAAAGAAGTGAAAAAAGATATATTGACATATTATATTATAAATCTGCACACGGCCATCTAAAAGCTTGAAATAGCTTACTAACTGTATTCCGATGCGATGATGGTCTTAAGCTTCTTTATTTTTGCTGGGTTATTTAACTCTAGAAGTCCAAGGTAACTGAATTTGCTATTTTAGTCTTGAAGGTGTTTACTCAACTTGCACATGAGTGATAGAGTGATTAAAACACCTACATTTACATGCACACTAATTTTTCTCTGGGCCAGATGTAGTGAGGTCCCCTAACACAGCTTTCAATTACTTCAGTAGCACAAACAAATTATAGAGTTATTCAAATTGGTCCAAGGAGAGACTGAACAGGATCTGTGCATTCCCCAT